ATTACACAAATTCACAATTCCTTATACAGACATATACAACACACACATTCATATACACAAGCTCATGGCCCCCACCAAAGAACACTGTACAGTATATCTCAGGAAATTAGGTTAGAACATCGCTAATGATGACTGCAGTGGTGGTTAGAAAGTTTCCTTTGCACAGACATTCAACTTGTTTGTGTGCTAGACTATGTTGCAAAAACCATATCGTACAAATATCACATGGGTAATTCTGAGCTGTAGGAATGTAGGTGTTTGTATTAATTCTTCAATGTCCTTGTCAAGGAAATTCAAGGATAAAACAAAAAAATTAGAACGCTTGGGTGCAGACCAAAGCGTGTGGAAGACCAAACCAAGTGTTAGCTTTAACTTTGCAATTACTAGGTGAACTAGTAAGACATCATTTTGAATGTTGTCTTCAGTTTTGGTCACCACATTAGCAAAAGGAAAAGTTCAAACCATAGAAACAGATCAGAGCTGTAAGGTGCCAAACTCTGGGCAGCTTCAAGTAATGGTAGAACAGAATTTTAGATGCAGTTTGCAAACTTTCTTATATAATTGAGGCTCTCCTATACATTATGCTTGTTATATACATACTGCACGTATATGTGTTATATACATATTCTTGTTATATATCATGTACATCACACCTTTTACTTCTGGCTGAGAGGGAATGCAGGCACTTCTAGCTGCTGCTTCTCTCATGTCTCTTGTTTGTATATGCGTCATACTTTTACTTTTCATCTTTCAACTTTTTTTTTTACTTCACTTTCATCATTACATTTATCACCAACTGTAGCTTGTTTAACATTGCAATTTCTCTATACCACCTGCTACTGCCCTGATCCAGTATTTCTTTCCTGGTTTTTGTCACGTCATCCCAGATTCCACCAAAATGCTCATAAGGTATTCCTTGGTGCAACTACTGAATCTTAAATGATCTTAAATATCCACTGCAGTTCTGGATGCCATTTTCTTCCTTCATCCCCTTGCGGAGTTGTGGTACCCATTTTTCAGCACAAGGCTGCTAGACTGTCCCACACTGGTGCTGACCTGCAGAATCTTCCCTTCCCTGCCTGGAACCCATCCCCTTTTCAACAAATCCATTGGCTCAGCGAGACCAGACAGATCAGCATTATTCATCACTCGATCTACAAAGAGCAAGGTTGCTCTACTAAATTATTTCATCACGTAGAAAAAATTTGATTTTCGATGTCTGACTGAAACCTGACACAGACATTAGGATAGTGTCTTGTTTAACAAAATAGTGCCTCCTGGTTACAGTTTGTTTGAACAATCTCTCTCTTCTGGCCATGGTGGTGGCATAATTGTTATTTATAATCTCCTTTTCTGTTGAAGTCCTGTTACTGTACCACTGCTGTATTCTTGTTTCAAATGTCTCTCTTCCCCACTCTATTGTTATTATTACTGTATATAGACCCTCTAACCCTCATGATGCTTTTTAAGGTGTGTTTACTGATTTATTTTCTGTTATTTTCAAAGTTAGGAGGATTCTTATTCTTGGTGAATTTAATATCTACATTGATTCACGGTCTTTCAATTTAGCTCAGGATTTTCCCGCTTTGATGGAAGACTTTGATCTAAACCAATTTGTTCTTATAACTCATCAAAGCCTTGATTCAGTAATTGCAAATGACTCGTTTTTCACTTCTCTTATCTTGAACTAAGTCTCACTGACAACTTAGCTATTCTCTTCAATCTAGAATTTCCTGTTTCACACTGTTCCCCCTCATGCTCTATAAGTTTCCACAACTGGCGATCTGTTGACCAGGCTAGGTTTGCAAATTCTGACCTGTCCACTATACTTTGCTTTTTTAATTCTGATCCTTTAGTAGTACAAATTGCTTAATAGCTCTCTCGTCTACCCCCGAAACCTCAGCACCTCTTAAAACTCGAACGATCTCTTTTTTTCACTCTCCCCCATGGTACACTGACCAGCTGCGTTCAATGAAGGCAGTCTCCTGAAAACTTGAAAGTAGGTGGCATTTTTCTGCCCTTAATGTTAATTTCCAGTCTTGGAAGGAGGCACTTCTGTGCATACAATAATGCAGTTGAGCCTGCTAGATCTAGCTACTTCTTCCACATCTTTGAGAACAACCATAACACCCCCAGACATCAATTCTCTAAAATCAGCAATTTTCTGAAGCAAAACTGCCCACCACATTACCTGCCTCATCCCAACTTTCCAACACATTCTTAAGATTACTTTAGCTCCAAAATTGACAACATCCAGCATCACACTCTCTCTACAATGCATGTTACCACCAAACCTCCACCCTGCTTATCTAGGTTTAATAGTTCCCTTCTCTCTAGCTTATCTCTACTTGGCTCTGCATGCCTCAGCAAACTGGTTGTGCACAATAAATCCATAAATTGCCTATGACATCCCATTGACACTGCTTTATTTTAATATAATGTACATGTACAATATACTGTCAAAACATCGATCTTCTACCTCCTATGTTGTCACTAATACTTTCTGTACCTTTCATACATACATTCATACATTCTTGAACTAACTAAACTAATTAGACTGGCATACTGTATATCACATTAAGTATAATACATGTACTGCCACAGTTTTTTCTATGCATTATGCTATGAGAAAGTCTGAAAGATGGACAGAGAGATAACTGTCAGAAACAGAGAGGTTGTCAGTCCTGCTGGGAGAGAAGAGACACACACCCACACTCACCACACAATATGTAACATCCTGGTGTGCCCTAGGAGACAATCTGCACCAAACAACCTATAATACTGTACTATACATAATACTATGGCAGCAATGTACTGTAGTATTTCAGGAACTAAGCCAGGCTCAGCGGTAAGTTTTTTTGATTTACCATAGGTAGCACAGTTCCTTTTGGAATTTACTGTATCCTTGTCTAATATAATTTAAATTGCTTGTTCTACAATGTTTACTGATCCTCTACCTGTACGTGAATCTTGATCATTGATATAAAGTATGAAGTGGTTCTCTAGTGGAGTCCCTATGGCACTCCACTAATTACTGCATCCCATACTGTATCTGTAGTCTCATATGCTATCTTTGTGTATCCATTCTCCCCACCATGCTGTAATGTTAATCCTTTCAGGAAGGATAACACCCATTCTCATAGAAAACTGAAACTGTCTTTCCAGCAAAGCAACTTTGAATTGAAACATAGCAAGAGAGAGTGTCTGGGGTAAGGAAAGTGAAAAGGAGCAGGGAGAAGCTCTGACGGAGAGACGTTCAATGAAAGAGTATTAGAGAGTGAGAGATAGATAGTGTGACGGAGAGGAACATTACCATCCTGGTAGCCCTGGTGACTGCGGGGGATGACAGCAATGCGGTTGTCATAGTCATGATAGTCTCGATAACTGGAGGAGCTGGGCCCTTGTGCAGCAGACTGGGTAGACCCATCCCAGCTGGAGTAAGAGCCACTGGGCACAGCAGCGTACAGAGCTATTAAAGAAGACAATGAGATTGGGTCAGAGCAGCATTGAGAAGAGGCAGCAGCACCATCATACACCGACATAAAATGATGCTTTCCCAACAAGCACAAACATGGAGAATAAGACGCCAAGGAAGCAAGGACCAGATGACACAAATGGAAGTTAAGGACCATTTAAAACAGAAACTCCAACATTTTCATTCACATAGAGACATCTTCAAGATTCAAGATTCAGTTCTTTATTGCGATAAGAACTATTTGTTTGGAATTTGGTTTGGTGAGCTCATACAATTAAAAATATACAGTACATATTTTCACAAATATTCAACATATTATTATTACAATATTGCAAATATTAAAGCTGATAATAAACAAAATCCACCCAACACATTCACAAAGCATCCTAAACACACATCAGTAATAAAATAAATACAGTATAACAGTGATAAACGACAGTGAAGCCTGATAGAATAACAATGAGCAGTGCAAAAATACCACAATTAAGGTGCAGAGTTTATGCATCTCAAATCTTCCAGGTACAGTAGGTGCTGATGCAAAACCTACTAAAGTAGTCCTTGTCTTGAGAGGGGAGAGAAGTTATCAGAGGTTGGGCACAGTGGGAAGGGTCAGCAAGGATCTTGAGAGCTTTGCATTTTGGTCTAGAGAAGTAGAGTGATTCCACAAAGGTGATATACGTTGTGTACACTATACCTACACCTATTATACAGTATATATACTGTACCTACTATACCTGCACTACTACACTGCCTGTAGACACAGGGCTGTGGTCAAGTTTCACATGGTTTACAGGCTATTAGTCAATAGTTTAATTTTTTCCAGTGCATTTTTATTGGTAAATCAATGTAAAAAAGAAAATTTTAATTGAGGAACTTTAAACAAATTTAGTATATGAGAAAAGGTACTGTATCTAACCACACTGTCACAGTTTTTTTCACCTAGCCAAATATAATTTATTAACACAAAGAGGTTAATTTCTTACTGCATAGAAACAGTGAGCTAAAATCCAAAGAGGCTGCATTTTGTCTCACTGTCCCTTTACCTGAACCTTCAGCTAGTTTGGCCTTTGCTGATTTATGTTTTCCTCTGCTCTACTCACCAACGGAAAGTTCCACTTCACAGTAAAAGATTTGTATTGTCTTATCCTTTCGGTTTTAAAGGTGGAATTAACCACTGCTTGTACCTTTGCAGCTCACACACTGATACAGCTCCCCACTCCAACCTTTTTGTATTTCCATTTCTGTAGCTAAATGGAACAAAATATGGTTTATGTGTGTTCCAATCTCCCGCCAATATGATCATCATACTGTACTGTATATGAAGATTATTTTCGTAAGATACATTTTATTGATTTTTTAATTTAGACACTTAGAGGAAACCAATTGTTTGCCAGATATCAGTTATTGTAGCCAATAAGTAAACACCCTTGTTTCCTAAGAGCAAAACTGAAAATACATTGTAGGAGAGCAGTTGTAGTAGTGGAATTTGATTGATCTGTACTTACTAGTTACACAGTGCAAAATGAATGTGTTCGACCTCTAATAGAATCTATACTGTATGATCATTTATTTTAAGTAACAGTGCAAGTACTGTAATCAGTTATGATGTTCAGCATTTTTGTAGTAGAGCTGACTTGTCTTCTACATTTCGCATTCTTTGAGAACACTTTTCAGAGCGGCTAGCTTGTTTTGAGGCAGAGCACAGAGAATACAGAGAATTTAACAGAGATACAGAATATCAATCGTCATGGCAGAGTTACTGTATTACACACCTAATACAATTCCACATGTTTGTGTTAAATCAATTCCACATGTTTACTGTGGACCACTGAATTAGCAACAGGTATTTTAAAAGATGAAAGTGAAGTTTCTCAGCTCACTGGAAACTACTGCAGAACAACAAAGGGTCTGTGGTATTCAAGTCTCACTGCACAACACGTCTCTGTACCACTGCAACCTCAGTGCGGAGAAAAGGATAAAAGTATGAAGCATGGTCCCTGGCAGCCCGAGGACACGCAGACTCAGCTTTCTCAGAACAGAGCCCAAAAAACCCTACAGGGCCCTGGTAAAGGAAGCAGAATGCTTACAAGATCTCTGATGGACATCAGCCAATCACTGCTGGGCTCATGCTCAGGGATTAATGAGGACAGCGGCTTCCTGTGCCACTGAAGGAAGGAAACAACTGCTACTGCTTTGCTTGTCATGACAGAACACCCTCCCCCCCACAACAAACAGCATCCCAACACACACTCCCTGCCCACATAGCACTCCTGACACACATTCAGCACCCCGACACTCACACTCCCTGCCTACCCAGCACCCCTGACACACATACAGTACCCCAACATACACACTTCCTAATCACACAACACCCCTGACAAACAAACATACTAAACCACTCCGTCACACACTCCCCCCCCCTAACATACATGAGCATGAGCCCTAACATACTAACATACTGTATTGAGGTATCACATTTGCGGGTACAAAACAACAAAAATGCTCCAAAAGAACCTACAACTATAGCCAGAGTCCATCAAGGTCAGTGATCCCAGCTTACTTTTTTGGATGTTTTGACCAATCATGAATCTTGCAAAAACATGTCTCCAAGGATTCTTAACCGCTTTATCTCCAAACCAGTGGCAGTGGTTTTCCACGCAGCAACACATTTCTGTCCCAAATAAGGAACCTGGAGACTGAGGACCTACCATGACTGCACATGCACATGCACGTACTTGGCCCACAGCTCATCTGATTTCCTTTTAGATAATGAGAAGTACAGTGCAAGTCTGTTGTGAAGTGCAGGACATTGTTTGGAGAAAAAAGAGACTCACTCTTACCTGGAACATCTGACACTGGCTGCCAGTTACACACCACATGACTGCAGGCGAATTCCATCTCCTACCCTGCCAAAAACACAGAGTGAGCAACAGAGGAGACAGGGTAATGTTAGAGGACAGGGTGCACATATGTAAGACTGAAGTGGCATTTTATCAACCCCATCAGCAGAAAAAGGATTAATAACAAGATACAAGTCTGAAAGTGTGCAAAATAATGCTCCTTAAATGGGGCTCTCAATATGCTGCTCGGAGTAAAGAATAGTGAAGAGAAGGTGTTGTTACCATACTGTAGGTCATCCATTTTAACAGTTTAGAAAATGATAACCTCTACATGAAGAATTTAATCTTTAATAATGTTTAAATAATATGAAAAAAAGAAAAAAAGATGATGAATTTAATAGCTTGTTTCAGTTGCCCACAACTCTTTAATGAAAAGCGCCTCCTGCTCTTGGTTTTAAGTGCTCTTTTGTCTAGATTCTAAGTGTGTCCTCTGTTTCTTGTTTCACTACTGAGTCTGAAGAGGTCCACCGCTTTCACTTTGTCAATGCCTTTAGGACTATGAATTCTTAAGAAGAAACATGAAACTGTGTGAGTACTGTAGTTGCAAATGAGAGGTGGCCATTCAGCTCTTTTTATGTGTCTGTTTCTTCTATTTACTAATTTCAAAATTTAGTAACTAAGATAATTTAAAACTTTGTCTAGCTATTTATTGAAAGTTCCCAGAGTTTGACTCTTGGCTGGGATGCCAGTTCAGATAACCGTAACTAAAGAAGTGTTTCTTTTTCTCCATTCTAATTGAAACCCCCTCCAGTTTTCTATGATTCCCTTGTTTCCTTATTACCTTGGGTTAACCCTACGTATACCATTTAGGATCTTATACTGTACATTTTAATCTTCTCTAAATCAAATTTGTTCTATAGTTGTGTCTGGTCCTTTTGTAGGCTTCTCTGTTGAAGACTAAAAAAGTACAGCTGCTTCAACCTGTCAGTGTAGGGCACTCCCTTAAGCACAGTATCTCTGGTTGCTCTTCAATGGACTGATTGCAGAGCAGTAACATCATATATCATAAATATTATATATATATATTTTAAACATGATGAACAAAATAATACACAATATTCTAAAAGATGTTTCATGAATTTTCATGAAACCTACAGTAAGATCCCCATTTTGAAATCCTATGCTTTTATTTATATATCCTAAAATTTGTTTTTTCACTCACACTGTCAGGAGGAAAATGACATACTGTGTCAACATAAACACTAGAGTTTTTGTCATAAGTAGCTTCAACAAGTGCTCCCCATCTTAGATTCGTAGCAAATATATGTAGGTATTTAGTAAATGCATGTAGGTACAGTATGCAATTGAAGAAATGAGGAAGACCAGAGTTCCTAATAATGACCCCTGTGGTACTCCACTAATTACATAATCCCAGTTTGAGCTTTCATCCCCTATTTGTACTCACTGGTTTCTAACCATTTTCTATTTCTTAATTCAAATACATGCATTACTTTTAATACCTACAGCCTGCAATTTAAGATTTAGTTTTTTATATGAAACCTTATCAAAAGACGATCATCTAGTTTAGTTATTTTTCCTGTTTCTGTAACTTCACATGTAATACAAACATTACATAATATGATAATCATGGTCTATAATTACTTGACATAGTTTTGTCACTTTTTTATGGACTACAATATTTCCTAATAAGAACTACATGCTGTAGTTCCTGTGTTGTGTTAATAGGCTTTGAATAGAATTTTGTTTTTCCTTCAGTACAATTGGAAAAATACCATCAAGCCTTGGAAATTTGGTTTATTTTACGTTTTTCTAGTACCTATAACACTTGTGCTAACAATGAAACTGAAAATAACATCCTGACTTCTTGCTGTCATTAAGGGGCAATCATTAACTGGTGATTGCTCTAGTGTCCTGTTTGGATTGGTAAATACTGCACCTGGCTTTCCCTCAGGTTAGTTGAAATACTGTAGTTTCTCACTCCTCTGACTAATCTGTTAAGTTATGATGTGCTGGAGCAGAGCACTTTCCTGTAATTCCTAGCTGGATCCCAATAAATTAGTCTTAGCCATTTTAACTATGTCATTTTTTAGACTTCTACGCATATTTGCCCAAACTGAAGTAACAGGTATGAAATTGAATAACGTCATCTAGGCAAATACTGTATACACTTGTACATAGAGCCAGAAAAATCTGAAATGGGAAAAATCCTGTTCAATAGCATTCGTATTTACAAATTCAGCAGCAAGGCTTCAAAGACCTTTGAAACACGAAGGATGTTAATCCCTAGGAGAAACTACCTCTTTAATCCACCTGCCCCACCTGTTGGAGCACTTGCACTGTGCATCCCTTTAGTGCTGAAGCATTCAGATCAATATCTCCAGCAGGCTGCTGCTTTAACCCCAGGCCTATACATCCTCTTTCACTGTGCTGCTGTTTTTCACTTGCGTTATCACTTTTCTTTTTAACCTTTTTTTAAGAGCAACTAATATGTAACCCCATTCTATTGAAATATCAAACTTTTCCAAGTCGACATCCAGGATGAAACAGAACATCAGAGATTAAACCAAATATCCCACAAGAAATTGTTACACCTGGATCAAAATGAACATCCTGGCCAAGCTGAATCTGTCCAATGTGCTAGTTGCTGTGGAAAGATGAACATCCTATGAAGCAGGGAAACGAATACTCTGAATACGTACAAATATACATTAACATGAACCCTTTGTGGAACAGAAGGGCCCTGTTTGCCGCTGTAGTAGGACTCCAATTAGCTTTTCACAAAGGGGGGAAATCTTGGAGAAATCCCCATCATGTTCATAAAATATAAATAAATTAATGGAATGACTCACAGTAGAGAGATTAATGCTTAAAACTGTGGTAACTTACAACTCTCCTTACTTAGAGGTGGAAGATTAATATATATATTCAGAAGAAATTCACATATCTTGTCTATTTCAATAATACCTGAATTTCCCCATCAGGTTACTTGAATTAAAAACAATTAATTAACTTAATTTCTCTTACAAACCAATCACCTACTGCAAACCTAAATAATTTGGTTGACATGATTCCTTCTAATAGTTTCACAGTACAGTAAGATTAATTTATCCCTTTATCTTAAAGACTTGGATGGTACATCTGTAAATCTTAATTCTGAATTGAAGACTGGCCACGGAATCACATTCAAACTCCAAATTGGATTCACTGACAAAATAACAAGATTATGTTCATATTACCGAGGCATCACACAAGGGCAGATATACTGCTCTACATTCAATTAGCTAGTGGAAGCATGAATCCCTGCAATTTGGACCATCATCATAGCTTTCCACCATCAGACCTCCATCATGCAATGGGTCTCCGACACCAAGGCAAACATGTCGTGTACATTGTTTTTCTTCAGGAAATAAAACCAAACTTCACATATAAAACTGCTAATAAATACTCTTTGCTCCCATTCTGATATTCCGGCATGTTGTTAGGTTTATTGAGCTCTTTTCTACAGTATACTGTATCTATTTAACTAGTTTGATGTTGCCTTTGTAATCTTAACAGAGAGTTTTTAATGCTCTCTGATCCCGTGAAAAATCTGCTGTTGGTTTTCTTATAGTAACTGCAAAAGATTAAAGTGATAAAGCATGTATTTTTATTCATTTCTAAGTCTTTAAAAATAAATACTACAATTAAAAAGTATTTTGGAATCTTATCTAGCCCTTATCTAATGAAAGAAAGGTTATGCAAAAGTACATAATTCATTTTTCCTTGTTTGATTTATTTAAAAATGAATGTATAGCACAAAAAATACAATGCTGACTCAATCCCATCATTGTCACCGACACATCTGCAGAGTCTGTGGAGTTAGCCTGTCTACTGACCACCCCAGTACACTGCACCCACACTGAGAGCTAGCTCTGGGAAGCACTGTGTACTGCACCATCACAGCAGGTCCAGGGAACACCAGGGCAGCCACTGACTTCACATACCTGAGAAAGCTGCACAGGGCTCAGGTTGTCTGTCCCAGATCTCTGTTTGTCTTGCTTGTGTGTTGTCACCTGTCCGTCAGACTCCAGTGTCTGTGTGCTCTGATGCAGGGCCTGTGTTGTGTGTTGTAACCAGCTCGAGGACAGATGTCGTACCGCTCTTGACACAGAGCAGGAAGTCACAGCAAAGAGATGAACGACTGAGAGAAAAAACGAAAATAGGAGGGAAGACGGTGTGGTTCAGTAGGTGGGGGATTTTTTTAAAGAAACGCAAGCCCTTCTCTTATCCTTGTGCATCACTCAGACATAACAGGACTTATAACAGGAAAATAAACAATTCTTTCTCTTAAAGGATATTGTTAAAAATAATAAAGGTGCAGTACTTTGTTGTTCATTATCTTCTGCCACTGGATTGAATATTAAACGCAGGATAACAGACAAATCAGGAGCAAAGTCTTTAGAGTCTCTCCAAGATCAACTGTGATCTTAGTTATTAACTTATCTTATCTTTGCTTTCACAACAGAAACAAACTTTGTTCAAAAAAGATTTCTTTTGCAGTCTTCAAAACAGCAGACTTAATCTGCTCGAGGCTAAACCACACAAGCTAAAAGGTGGGAGGAATGCTTTTCAAATGTCATGAAATTTTGCCCACACCTTGCAAATAACAAAAATTAGATAATTATAGTCTATGAAAAGAAGTTAAAATAAAATGAAAGATTTACATATTTCAACAACATTAATAATTAATTACAGCTCTAAACTGTTTTTTATCCAGAAATATCTCAAAGTCTTTTAAACATAGCAGGGAACTTAATTCATCCATTATTAAAGTGCAGTTCCAAGTAGATAACATGCAATGGCCATTCTGCACTAGCTTCCCCACTTGGGTGATACGCAGCAGCCATTCTGCACCAGCTGCCCCACTTGGGTGATACGCAGCAGCCATTCTGCACCAGCTGCCCCACTTGGGTGATACGCAGCAGCCATTCTGCACCAGCTGCCCCACCTGGGTGATACACAGCAGCCATTCTGCACCAGCTGCCCCACCTGGGTGATACACAGCAGCCATTCTGCACCAGCTGCCCCACCTGGGCGATACACAGCAGCCATTCTGCACCAGCTGCCCCACCTGGGTGATACACAGCAGCCATTCTGCACCAGCTGCCCCACCTGGGTGACACTCAGCAGCACCAGCAGCTATTCTGCACTAACAGCCTGACCACACAGCAGAACTGGGGGAGTAGTGAGAAACTGCTTCAGCAGAGCTGCATTAAGGGAGGCCAGGTTGTTGAATCACAAAGTGGAATCTTTTTACTTACTGAAGCACAGACCCATTCTGAGTGTGTGAAAACCGAGAAGATCCTGGAGACTGGGAGACAGGTAGCTGCCAGTGACCTACATTGATACACAATTGGACCAGCTTACCTGGAAATTGTTTTTTTTTATTCAACGGAATTATCTTAACTACTATTATTGAATTGCTTATATCAATGGTAAGAAAGCAATGAATGTTATACATTGTTAAAAAAAGTATGATGTGAATACATTATACTGTATAGGAGATGACATTTAAAACGTTTTGTAATAGCAATGCAGACGTAGTTTTTGTAACTGCAGCCAGGGTTACAAGACATACAGCAGTTTTTAAATATTTAAGAAAAATAATTTCTCCTGTAAATGTAGATCAAGTAGAAGAACTACAGTATGTATGGATTTTATCACTTTAACTCTATCATGGTGAGGAAGCCTTTTAGTCTGTACAGAATTGTTGAAGTAGTACAAATGCTTGAAAACTGTCAAACTGACCGATAGCCCGACAGAGCCAGCCACAACTTAATGACTCATTTTCACCAGTCTCGGGGAACTTCTCCTTCACAGAAGGGACCGGGCTTTGTAACAATTTAGAACAGATATTTGTTTTAATGTTAGGTTTAAACACACGCGGAATGATAAAATGTGCTTTAAAAAGTTGCTTTACTGGTCAAAATCGGTTTACAAATGGAGACTCGCTCTTAATTTTTTTTATTAAAAAATATTTTCAATCAGAAGACATGATCTGTGGTAACTATTAAACGCAGTAGGTGGTTTCGTTGTGATCTTGTACCAGCACGCTCTGTCTCACATCTGCCCACCTGGAAATATATACTCCAGAATTGTTACATAACCAGAAATGTGTAGTAAATTCATGGTTATTTCACTTTAAATCGACAACCACATTAAAAAAAAAAACAAAGGTGTTTATATAGACTTTACCCTGCTCTAGCAAGAGGAACGTTAGGGGTGGAAAAAAAAGAAATGAAAGGTTTCTTTACACTTTATCCCTGAGTGTATTAGAAAATACCGAATCGCGTTCGTCAGCATGTGGCACACATCTGGGTGCGACAGATGCACAGAACAACAGGAAATGGCTGCTGGAGCCCCACTCGTCACATGGCGAGGGAAACCAGCCCGGCGATGGTGACGTACAGTCTGCGCTTTGCCCAGAGACAGGCAGTTGCAGGGATGCCACAATAAATTAAATACACGAGATCGAGATGAGAGCCCCCAAATCGAGAAGCCAATTGTAAGAAAAAAAATAAAAATAAGATAATTAACCTTGTGTACAGCACCACCGAGAAAATAACCTTTTCGTCACATTTAAAACCTCCCTCAGCCCCCACAAACGTTATAATCTCAGGGTGTACCTAATCGTTCAGGCTGCTCATCTACAGTATATCGGCAGCGCACAGGTCGCCTAAAAGAGTCGCACACAAGGGAGGGACGGGGGGTTAGAGTTCATTCAAAATTTCACAACGGTGTCAGTCCTCGGAACAACAGCGCTGTGCTGAGCAGCGAGTATTGCCGTTTCCGGGTAGTAGCGGATAACACAGCTGCAGAGGGGATGCAGGTAAGTGCAGACAGCGCTGTGTCAGTTTAACGGGGAGGCTCAACAAACCAGGAGCTGTGCATCACTGTCCACGGAAGCACTGGTTTAGTCAGCAGTGTGTTATAGTTGATTTATCGTTTCTTTTAAAGATTTGAAGAGCTGGTGTGTGCGCCATAGCTGCTGACCCGTCTCGGTGAAACTGTGGCCATTCAGATATGGCCATCTGACAGAAGTCTGCAGTGAGCTCGCCGTGATGTGATATCTCCCCATTTCTGCTCTGCAACATAGTGTTGTTCAAACTGAACCAAGCTGACCCGCCTTGAGTCTCTTGTGCAAGAAACTAACGAACTGGAGGAGTGAGCTCTTTTTAATAGTTGTATATATTGTCAGATTAGCGAACAGAGCAAGACGGCAGGCTCATAAAGGGTCTGTAGATGTAAAAATAAACCCACGATATGTCAGTTTCCAATAATAGTATTAGTGGTATGCTAAATTAGATTTACTCATGAATTGGTAGTGAAGACTGGTCCAAACTATGCAGTGCTGTAAAGGCAATGTCTTGCAAAGCTTACTGTCATGACACTTTGAAGTAGAAATTCATATTTGTTCCATGTACAACCTTCTCCATTCCTTCAAAACAAAAATTAAAAAAGAAAATAGGTAATATGAAAGAAAAATGGAGAGTCACGATTGCATACTGTAAGTCTTCTGACCCTTTGCAGTGACAAAATGTCCGTAATGTGGAACACAATTAATGTCCACTGTGATAATAGTGGTTCTCATTATTTCAGAATAAAAACACCCACGAAGCAATGATTCAACAATGAAGACCAAAGAGCTTTCAAAGCAACACAGGGATAAATTTGTTAAAAAGGCACAGATTAGAAGAAGGGTATAAATATATTTCATAGACCCTTACTGTATCTATTTGAGTATCTATACTGTATCTATTTGAGCCTGGTGAATTTAAGATAAGAGATAAGATTACTTTATTAGTCCTATACAGTTTCTTGCATTAGGAATTCATCTTTTCACATACCCCAGCTTGCTCTCCTTGAGACACAGACACAGAGAGAAGTTTTGGGGTCAGAGTGCAGGGTCAGCCATTGTACAGCAAACCTGGCGCAGTTGGGGTTAAGGGTCTTGCTCAGGGGCCAATGGAGTAGGATTTCCCTGCCAGCCACAGGATTTGAACCAGCAACCTGCCAGCCACAGGCCCTTAGCCACAGAGGCACTGCTCCACCCCCAGCATTTTGATGATTATGAAGTGGAAGTCACCCAGACACTGCCTAGACCAGTCTCTCCAAAATGAGCAGCAAGATAAGTAGAAAAAGGGGTTTGAGATTCCATTGTGAGGCCAACGGCAATTTAGAATTTTGAAGTTCAGTAAGAGAAAACATCCATTAGTTCACAATGTTCTGGTCACTCCACAAAGGAGGCTTCTATGTAACTGAAACAAAAAACAACATCTCAAGTCCCACTTATGGTTTGTAACCTAAAGGATACAGCAAACATCTAGCAAAAGCTTTTGTGGTCATACGAAAAACAAATTAAGAGCTTTGGTCTAAATGCAAAGTATTACGTCTGACACAAAACACTATTGTCAGCTGTGATGGCAGCAGCATTATGTTATAGTTATGTGTCTTATCAGCAGGGACTGGGAAGCTTGTCACCTTAGGAAAGCCTGCTTCCATCTGCTAAAGACTTGAAACTGGAATAAAATTCACCTTTCAGCGGGACAGTGACCCACAGCACAAGACCAGATCTACACTGGAGCAGCTTTAGAAGTTCAGTTGTTTGTCAAATTCTAGTGATGATTAAAGTAGTAGGTGAATATGAAGCGATAGTGTGCTTACTACTTTGACTTTTATTCACCTGGCTAAGGAAATGACAGAGCTAGTGGGGGTCAATGCTGTGACAAACTGCTGCAGTGATGAAGGAGTGCTGGAAAAGATGTGTGCAGCACAGTAGTCTGCCATGGAGCTTTTATGCTCTAGGAAGTGACCTCCACCTGAATGTCTGTTCAGTAACACTGTGAAGTAAATATCTTTGAGTGGCCCAGTCAAACTCCTGACTTGAATCCTATTGAGGATCTGTGGAAATACATGAAAACTGCCCCCCATAAGCCATCATTTTCTCTTTTGTTTTAGCATTATTTAAATTCAGACTAAACCAACCTCTTCCTGTCAGTTAAGCATCTGAGTGTAATGCAGATTTCTGTTTTTTTGTCATGATATGAGTGGCCCAGTACTGTCAGAGGACTATAAACCATCAAGTAATCCAGTCACATGCGCTATCCAAGCCAGTCTCTGTCCCCTGTGTTCTGCAGGCCCACAGGAAGCTGGTGAACAGTGTGCAGGGCTGTGTCGATGAGGCTCTGTGGGGGATGGTGAGTGGCCATGGAGGTCTGACTCTGTTGGAGGGGCAGCGCGTGGTCCTGCGCTCCGACCTGGGGGCTCTGAGGGGCCGTGTTGCCCTGGTGGCTGGGGGAGGCTCCGGCCATGAACCCGCACATGCAGGTACAAGGCACTCTCACAACCAGTCGTGTTTAGCACTGTGTAAAATGCACAGTCCCTCTTTTTCTCATTCTCATTATGTCTTCCTCCCGTTTCCGCTCCTTCCCTATCGTCTTCTTCCTGCTCTCTCCTCCCCACCCTTCCACTTCCAGGCTACATTGGCAAGGGGATGCTGTCAGGGGTCGTGGCGGGGGCGGTGTTTGCGTCACCCCCTCCTGGCAGTGTGCTGGCAGCGATCCTTGCGATGTGGCGGGGGGGAGCATCAGGCGTGCTGCTCATTGTGAAGAACTACACTGGTGATCGGCTGAATTTCGGGCTGGCGTTGGAGCAGGCACGAGCAAAGGGAGTGCCTGTCAGCATGGTTGTAGTGGCTGACGATTGTGCCTTCACTGCACCGAGCAAGGCTGGGAGAAGGGGCCTGTGTGGCACTGTGCTCGTTCACAAGGTGAGGGGTTGGTCTGTGGAACTGTGATGTGTTGTACTACAATATATGACAAAGTGTGAAATTCACATCAAACAGCAGAAACACTGGACTTATGCCTCTAACTCATCAGGTGATGGCTTCAAGCATACAGCAGATTTCACAAACAAAGCTGTTCCCTCAATAACATGGTCAGACTGAAGTTTACTCAATAAGGCCACTTAAAGTGTTCATTCCATTTGCAAGGGGGGCCAGGCAAGACAGTCCTGGGAGTGAGTTTGTGAGTGGGGAGGGATGGATTATCATGAGATTAACTAACCTCTTTTTGCCTCTTGCTGCAGCTGGCTGGAGCCCTTGCAGAGGAGGGGCGAACCCTGGATGAAATAGTGCAAAAAGTGAATGAAGCAGCCCAAGGGATCGGTGAGCAACACTACTGTACTGCACACATTGTGGTTCAACTGAGCATGCAGCCCTTATGTGGCAGAAGCACCTGGAAGGCTGTGGACACTGTAGAGAATGTGCGTTTCAGATGAGAAAAATTGTGACCTGTACAACCTTGTAGTGGGACTGCAGTATCCTGTGTAGAGGTTTTGTGCATGTACTGGGACAATTATTAATTGTAGCTGTAAATCACAAAATGATTCTTCGATGGTTATTAGAAAATTGACCTTGTGGAACAACTCAGCAATGCACACACACGGAGAATACATTTATTAATACATAAAATGTACATATAAACATAACAGATCTTATAGTCAGGGTTAGCAGAATACAAAAGGTATATATTCAATCACAAAGAGTTACAAATACCAAGAGATACATAATTCAGTATACCATTCATTTATACCATGTATACCATTAATGAGCTTTGATTACAACTTCTACACTAGATACTCAAAAACAAGTACATCACTCGTAGGAATTAAATTGATATCAACTGGGGTAGAGGTAGCAATTGAATTCTAGATATGCAATGTAGAATGTTGAATACTCATCCAATTTATGTGGATTCAGACTTCCCGCGGACACAAAGGAACAGCGACAGGCTGTTGTTGCGTCCAATCTGCATCCTCTGGCCCGGTGCCAGGCAGTCCTGGTGCGGCTGGAGGTGTGGGAGAAGGAGGGAGAGATTCCTGCTGCGGTGCGCTGGCAGTGACTCTCTGAAGACAAGCTAGTTAGTCCTGGCTTAACTAGCAGAGATTGTGCACATGGAAAGTGACTGTG